TAATTTTGAGATTCTAAGGAATCCGAGAAGGGAATTCCGGAAAATTTCTCTACTTTCTTATTTTGAATTTGTGATTGTATGCTTCGCTTGAAAGTCTCATTGAATTGAGGGTTTTAGTCAGTTGCATCTCAGCGTTCGTATTAGTCCATATCCCAGCCTCAATGAATGCCTGCGGAAGCTCCATTGCTCCAACTTGAGCTCTTTAATGGGCACTCTGAACTACTCACAGGCAATGGCCACAATAAATTTATTTGGGCGAAAAAGGAGAGTATAGGTAGTCATCAGTTCTTCAGTCGAAGAAAGAAAACATCAATTAAGAATTAATCAAATGGGAACTCCGCCAGATTCCAACATGTGGGGAAAGGGAGGGGTGTTGCGAGAAGGACGGGAACACCTTGGTGTTCGGCCTGAACTCACAGGTTGACAACCCAATACATCTGGTAATGGACAAGTACTGACTTGTTGATAACACCACCACGTCTTGTCTTTTTATTCGAACATGAATTAGCTAGTTGATAACACAGCACAACTAGTAATATCACCTGTTTTTCACCTGTCAATATCGCAGCCTCCCCTCATTTTGAGGGGTGCGCTTCGTTGCGCGCGTCCGCCAAAACTAGGTCGCGCCGCAGCCGTCGCATGCGACGCGTCAGCGCGCGATCTTTGACAAACGTCGCAGTTGTCTGTGGGGCATACGATTTGCGCTTGGCCCACAGCAGTCAGCCAAAGGGAAGATAACACGGACAAATGCAAATCATTCGCTCCGCTAACACTTGGCGGTACTGTGATGTCAGCTCAAGACCTCAGATGGGGTGCGCCGCGCGCGGAGTAGGCGGGGTGACCTACTTTCAACGGACGCGCGCAACGGACGTTCTCCCATTTTGAGGCGTTCCCACTTGGGAAGGTATTTACCTAACTGGTTTCACTTGCTTATGCTACACTATTCCAAATCTCAAGCGGTTTCCTCGGCTCTTCTCCTTTGTAATTATGTTTCATTTTCTGTATGTCTTACGTAGGCTCTCGCATTTTTCTGACATCACTTTCCAAAGCAGTAGGCTCGAGTGGCCACTACTTCGAAAAATTACAGATGTACCCTGCCATCCACCGCTTTCAGCGTTCAAACGCAAGACTGGTTTCGCAAGAGGAAAAAAAGGAAGGGAAGAATGTCTGATACAGTAAAATAGAAAAGACGCCACACAATCAAAAGCCCATCACGTATAAGACACAATGAAAAACGGTTTTAGGCAAGAAGATAGGGTGGGACGGAGTAGTGCCTACTTGTCCGTGAAGCTGTACCACACTTCTTTCGGGCTTCAAGTTATGGCCTCAATCGCGATGTGGTATTAACTTGTGATTGCAGTGAATACCAACGTTAGTAGACCATACGCCCCGAATAGAAAACCCATGGTCAACCTTCACCCAGTCCTTACTATAAATGGTTTGCCAACTGTTCAAGTATAGAATGGAATCGAATTCCATTCAATCCGAATATCGAGACGTGAAGGTGGATAGAAATATTCTTCTATGTGGTCGCTGGTCAAAATTTATTCAGTCCAATCCGCCATCGATATTGCACCCGAAATCGCGATCGGCCCCTAAAACTGGAAGTGATAGATGGGAAAAAGTTTCAACTTCTTCTTGGTTTTTTGATTTTTCATAAGTTCATTCTATGACTTCACATGTTTACATTATTCACAGTGGAACTTGACTGCTTGATGCATCCCAGCAATTTGTCATTCTTCATGATGTCCTTAGTCTTCCTTTTTTTCAAATTTCCGACAATCAAGATGCCAACAGTGCTCTTTCGCTTTGTTTTTCGATGGTCTTGGCTTTGCGACAACTACATTTTCGATGCCTCCCAGCTCACTGAACGGCTCACAACTTGCTGTTTTCTTCAGATGCCGTCAATACAAATACGTTCTGCGGACGAATTCCATTTCAGTTACTCCCAACTACTACTGGAGTTTTTCTGTCGCATTCCCTGAACCCTGATTAGCAAGTGAGCCCTATGTCAATGGGCCATGTTTATCATCTGTATTACTAGATTTTCTTTCTACTTCATCGTCATCACCACACCTTTTACAGACTTTTCACTCTTCGTGAAAATTCAATTCCTTCAGTAAGAAGAGCTTATCCCATGGGTAATATACGTCTTCGCCATTTTCACTCTCAAATGCCAACTCCGAAGCCGCGAGTTTCTAATGGGTTTGCTATTACCATAGTGTCGTAGAACGTTCACATTTACGGAGAGAATCTGCTTATTACGCTGCTGAATGTTTTAATAGGTAAAGATTTCCCATAGCGCAGTGGATGGACTCCATAACTATCCCACGCAGAACTTTCGGTTGGAGGACTATCCTGTTTAGGTTTTTTCCTTGAGAAACTTCAGGGTAAACTAAGTCACACAGTTCGAAAAAGCGTTCACCATGAAAAACAAGAACTGTCTGGCCGGTTGTCTGTAGATATAGTAAGTTATGTTAATTATTACAGTTGTGTTACAATTCAGCTGAAATTCTTTTCCTGACTTCTCCTATCTAGTCCATGATTTTTGTGCATTTTATATAAAGGGTCGGTAACACTGGTATCCTGGGCCCTTCGAGAATATTATTGTACCTCAAGAAGCTCAACCAAAAATATAACTGTAAAAGCCTTGTCTGTAACATCGCATACCGAATTTTCTTCAGAGAAGATACTGATCGCATAAGTTGTAAGCTTCAATTCGAGACAGGGCCCTTGTAGCCTTCTCAGTTTGGAGGCTGGTAACTAGGCACGGCACGGCGCCAGTTCCGATTTCTAATAAGGGCGTAGATTTGGTTTGCCGGCCGGCTGCCGGCCTATGGTACTAGTAATGCAGGGGCTGCTAAAATCCGTTTTTTTTTTTGTTAATTGCCCAGTAATAAGATCTCGGAGGTCTCGAAAACAGCAATTAATCCGGCTCATTGAGGAAGCGCTACTACTACAAACAATCTTACAGCTTCTTACAGCTGGATGAGTTCTCCATTATGCTATTCTTAATGATGGCGTAAATCCGAAAGACTTGGGTTGCTCCTCTTTATCCCTGACTTTCGAATCAGTTTATGCCATTTTTTGCCGTTCAGCACTTGAACAGCGCTGTTCTCGCTCAGAAGGAGATTCTGATCTCAAGTAGAACGCACGTAAAACGGGAATTTTGTCCGGCAACACACATTTTCCCATGATAACGTCAGAATGTCTAAGTTTCCGCAGGACTTCCTGTTTGAAAATGTACTAATTGGGGCTAACGGAAGAAACCGATTCTATAGCTTTATCCGGACAGGGCCTCTCACTTTGCCCACATCTACGACTTCCACTGCTTTTCTTCTAAAGAGGTAGGGTGGAGGAGGGGGGTG